GGTGTGAGTGTGAGCACGTCCTCATGATGACAAAATCAGTGTTAAACCGAGATAGCCGTTGGTATTAACAAAAAAAAAACAACTGCAAAAATGGAGATTTTTAATTTGGGTTGGAAGCCCGGAGTTGAGGTCAGTAAAGGAAACCTTCAGAGGGGGCTTTGTTTGGGAGGAAACCCCAAGTTTTCAGCTCAAAACCCGCTCAGTTAACGAGCTTTGGACACATTTAACTACAGTGGCTTTTGGATGTGCCGAGCTTGGACCCAAACTCCCCTGGATATAACCCAAAATGGAGACACCTAAGATGGAGGTAGGACCATGAGCTGAGGTGGAAAATGACTCCAAGAAAAGAAGATTTGAGGAACGTCAAGGAACGTTTCCAACCACCGTGGAGCACCCACCTTTGGGGGGGGGGGGGGGGCAACGTCACCCCTTGGGGGACAGTTTGATGGTGGAGAGGAGGACACAGAAGTAGGGGAAGACCTTCTCTCCGCTGAAGGAGGCCACAGAGAAGGTGAAGATGCGTTGGCGGCTGCCGACGGCATAGAAGGAGACCTGTCCCACCTCGTAGTCGAGGTAGACCCCGATCTCCCCATTGAGGAGTGGGACGGAGGTGTTGGAAGGAGCCGTGAGGGCCACACAGAGCTCATCGTACTTCTGCAAGCCCCAGATCTCAGCGTTGGGCTTGAAGAGGACACGGCCTTTCCTCTGAACCGACTCACGGGCCACCCCAACCGCCCAGAAGCGCCCATTGGCCTCCACCTCCCAGTAGTGACGGCCCGAGGTGAAGCCCTCACTGCCCAGCATGCACGGATCCGTGTCAAACTGGCCTGGACCCTCAGGCCACCGGTGGCCAGGTCTACCCCAGGTGGCCTCTTTGAGGTCATCGGAGAGGATCACCTCGGGACCTGCCGTGGCTGGATCCAGGGTCACGTCCACTGGAGAGAAAAAGAGAGAAGGAATCAGATGCCAAACTGAAGTGTAGAGGAGACACCACCACCCCCACCCCAAATCCCCTTCATCGGTGACTCCTCAAGGAGAAAGGGGGAGGAGTGGTGAGGTTGGAGATGAAGGATCTCCAGTTGGGATTGGACAGGGAGGAGCGAAGAGATGGAGTTTGGAGGTGGGGGTTGGAGATGGAGGATCTCCAGTTGAGGTTGGACAGGGAGGAGCCAAGAGATGGAGGTTAGAGATGGAGGATCTCCGGGTGAGGTTGAAAATTGAAGAGCCAAAAGATGGAGGTCACAGATGGAGGAACTTCAAGCCAGGGTGGAGATGGAGAAGCCAAGAGATGGAGGTTGGAGATGAAGGATCTCCAGTTGAGGTTAGACAGGGAGGACCCAAGAGGTGGAGGTTGGAGATAAAGGCAAAGTTGGAGATGGAGGATCTTCAGGTGAGGTTGGAGATGGAGGAGCCAAGAGATAGAAGGTGGAGCTGGAGGATCTCCACCTCCAGTGGACATCTCACTTGAGGCAGCCCAGCAAAGAGCCGGAATCAGTACTTTGCTCCTCTCCGGACGCCTTTGGTTACCTTCAAACTGTTTCGCTGTGTGATAGTCCAGGGCAAGATCCCACGTGCGCGGCCGTGGTTTGAGGAAGAAGGCCATTGCGCCCACCACGTCCTCCCCTCCTGGCTGGGGGCGCAGAAAGGAGAAAGACAGACTTAAAATAAAATTACCATCCTACAAAGGGGCACATCTCAGCCTTTCACCCCCTTTTTATGTTAGAAAAGAGGTTCAACCACCACATTTAATCAAAATACGTGAAAGAAAACACCATTTTTTTTTTTTCTCCAGAGGAGTTTGGGAAGCATTTAATCAAAATACGTGGAAGAAAACATCGGGGGTTTTTTTTTCTCCAGAGGAGTTTGGGAAGACCCACAGAGATGGATTAAATCTATTAATTCCCTGATGACTACGACGGGAAGAGGAGGAGGACGTTGGGATGGACTCGTCTACATCGTCAACGTGATTATACCCCAAAAAATCTCCATTCCTCGTGCCGGCTCAGGGCTGAATTCATCTTAAATCCATCCCTGCCTCTGCCACTCATTTTCTCGGGCGATCAAACCCAATGAGGTTTATTTGAGTGAGAGGGGAAAAAAACAAAAAATCCTTAAAAATTGAGATAAGTTGAGTGCAACTCTCTCACGTCCAGAGACATCCTGCGAGAGGTGGAGAAATTCGTCCCCGGGGGAAAATGTGTGCGGGGAAGATAAGAGCCGACGTCGAAGGGCCTCGAATCCATCCTCCGAAACCCGGCGTGGGGGTTTTGACTGCAAACGAGCGGTTGGCGGCGGTAAAAAGGCTCTGGAAATAAGTCATAAAGCCCCAAAAACGACTGATTAAACCCCACCGCCGTGTTCAAAAAAATAAACCGGTTGGTGCTTTCCCCAGCACAACTGCGGGGAGTGGAATCAAAGCAGTAAAAGTTGGGGAAAAAGGTGGGAAAACCGACCTTAAATTAAGGGTTAAGTAGGAACTTTGACATTTCTCACCCAAATTTCCCCAGCCGGATGGTTATGGGCAGATGAGAAGCAAATAATACGCGTGACCACCCACCGCAAAACGCCTTTAAATCCAAAATAACGACCCTGTGGGCAAAGCAGAGGTAAAGCCGCTTTCCTTCTCCCGTTGGTGGGATGGGGAGAGTGCTCAAAACCCCCTTTTTTACCCCAAAAAAGAAGGCGGCAGTGGGATGTAAACCCCCACGAACGCGCTGGGGTTTTCCCCTTTCTCAAACCTTTTTTGGGTTCTCCTTGGTGGCACCTACGCTGTATTGGGGTTCCTCCGGCTGCTTTTTCTCCACCGTCGTCTTCTCCGCTTGGGTTTTCTTCCTACTTTCAGGTTTTTTTTTTCCCTCTTTAGGGGTTTTTTTTTTGTCCCCTTTGGGTTTGTTTTTTTTTTTTTGGTTTCCTCCTTTTCTTTGGCACAGGCTCAGCGAAAGCTCAGTCCCGTCTCTGCCTCCGCCAGCTTTTATCGGCCGGGGAGGGAGGAGACCTCCAATCTCCCGCCCGCAGACGGGGCCGCGACGCGCTCCGACGCCTCCTGCGCCCTTCGATTGCACCTTTTTCCACCCTCTATTTCAGGGCCACTTACTATTTGGGATCGTTCCCCCATTATTGGTGGTTAATTCCCCAATTATTAGGCGTTTCTCCCCATTTCCCCCCTTCTTTTGGGGCTATTTCCCATTATTAGCAGTTATTACCCCAATTATTAGAGGTTTCTCCCCCATTTTCCCCTTTATTTGGTGCTATTTCTCCATTATTCCCCCTTATTAGTGATATTGCCCCATTATTAGGGACTGTCCCCCCATTATTCCCCATTATTAGCGATTATTTCCCCATTATGAGGGGCTATCCCTCCATTATTCCCCTTTCTTTGGTGCTATCCCTCCATTATTCCCGATTATTACCCCATTATTAGGGACTATTCCCCCATTATTCCCGATTCTAGCCCCATTATGAGGGGCTATTCCTCCATTATTCCCCTTTATTTGGTGCTATTTCTCCATTATTCCCCCTTATAAGTGATTATTACCCCATTGTTAGGGACTATTCCCCCATTATTTCCCATTATTCCCCATTCTAGCCCCATTATGAGGGGCTATTCCTCCATTATTCCCCTTTATTTGGTGCTATTTCTCCATTATTCCCCATTATTAGTGATTATTACCGCATTGTTAGGGACTA